CTGTTTCAATACATGAACAATAAGAACAATTGATGAAAGTAAAAATAAAATAAAATAAAAATAAATGACAGATTATCCCGAATGTAGAGGCCTCCCAGCGGAGGTACTACGACATGAGTAGGACTAAATTAGGCTAGCAGGTCGCGACACCACTGTCTTTTAAGTCTTTTAACTGGGTTACCTGGGATAGAAGCAGATGATAGGTCGGAGATTAACGGATTCTTATGGTGAGCTAGGCGGTTATTGAAACGTTTATAATGAGTTTTGGCTAGTTCAGAGACAAATGGTATTTTGAGATCAGTGTGGAGGGTGTGGTTAGAGACATAGAATGGTGCTTTTAGAATTGTGCGTAGAGTTTTGGATTGGAATCTTTGAATGCGGTTGATGTTGGAGATTTTGGCAGCGCCCCATAGTTGAATCCCATAAGTCCAGATGGGTCTGAGTAGGAGTTTGTAGAGCAGGAGTTTGTTGGAAGGTTTCATGTGCTTTGATGTTAGAAGTGGACGAAGGAGCCGGAAGCGGTCATTTAGTGTACGAGTTTTGTTAATTATGTGAGGTTTCCAAGTGAGACGGCGGTCGATAAGGATACCGAGGTAACGTACGCATTGCGCAGGGGGAAGTGGTTGGTTGTTGAGATAAAGTGTTGGACATACTCCTTGACGAAGTGCAAAGGTACCGTGGATGGACTTGGTTTCGTTCATTTTTATTCCCCATGTTTTGTACCATGATTCAAGGGAGAAGAGATGATCTTGTATGTAGGAGGATGCTAAAACAGGATCAGGGCTGGTTGTTAGTATGGCTTTGTCGTCAGCAAAATCACCGACTAAGGTATGGGGTGAAGTAGGCTGGTCGGAGATGTAGAGATTGAAGAGTAGGGGAGCAATTACTGCGCCTTGTGGAACGCCTGCTTTTATTTCAGTAGGAGAGGAGAAGGAAGAACCTACACGTACGGAGAAGAACCGATCTTCGAGGTAGGATTTGAGGATCAGATAGTAGTGACTAGGAAGGATAGGTTTTAATTTATATAGGAGGCCTGAGTGCCAGACTCTATCGAAAGCATGGGAGACGTCAAGGAAAGCACCAGTGCAGTATAATTTTTCCTCTAGGGCAAATGAAATTTTGTCAACCAGGCGATGAATCTGATGGATCGTTGAGTGACTGTTGCGAAAACCAAATTGAGAGTCAGGTAGTATTTTAGCTTCATCAACTATTGGCAGTATTCGTTTGAGAAAAAGTTTTTCAAATTGTTTGGAGAGAGTTGGTAGGAGACTTATAGGCCTATATGAGGAAGGACAGTCAGGGGGTTTTTTTGGTTTTGGTATTAGTATTATGATAGAATATTTCCATAATATAGGAAAGTATGATAAACGAAGCATAGCATTGTAAATTTGTGTTAGGAAAATTATGGTTTTTCTGGGAAGGTGTTTGACCACTTCCGTCGAAATTAAGTCAAAACCAGGAGATTTTTTCGGTGAGTTTTTCTTAAGATTAAATTCAACTTCACCAGGGGTAAAAGCTCTAGGAGGCGGATACATTGGAAGAGGAGAGTTAAGATAGCTTTCAACTTCCTGGATTTTGGTTGGAGAGATAATATTGTGATGTGGTTGAAATGTGTTAGATAGGTGGTTGGCAAATATGTTGGCTTGAGATTGTTCAGACAGTGCCCAGCTACCATCAGCATTACGTAGAGTAGGGGGAGAATTGTGAATTCGTAGTAGTTTCCTAGTGGCTTTCCATAGGGAGCCATCCATGCCAGTGAGAGAAGAAATATAGTTTGCGTAAGACTCCGATTTAAGGTTAGCTAGCAGACGTTTCAATTTTTGGGTGAGTGCATTGTAAAGGGATTTGTCGATAGGATATCGAGTTCTTTGCCAAATAACACGAGCGCGACGTTTTTGTGAGATGAGAGTTCGTATGTAGGAGGGAAGATGAGGGGAAGGCTTAACGTGCAAGGGCACAGGTTTGGCTGAGTCCCAAACAGAGGTTTGAATATTAGTTGTGAGTAGGTTTACTGCGTCGTCGATATCAGAGGGAGTCTTTAGGCGGAGTTTAAGGCAAGTTTTTTCCGATAGGATTGTACTGAATTTGTCCCAGTCAGTTGGAAATTGAGATAGAGCTGAGGCGTTGGCTTTAGCTTGGGGAAGACAGTCTAGTGAAAGCATGACTGGTGAATGGTCTGAGCATGGGTCAATGAGATTAAATATTTGAGTGTGGAGGTTCCTTGGAATCTTAGTGACGAAGATATCCAGGATGTCTGGCATTTTTCGACGGGAGTTAGGCCAGTATGTGTAATTTGGAGGTGCAATGACGGTAGAGTTGGTAGATGGTAGTGATTGGAGGAGAGAATTTCCTCTGGGGTTTGAGGCACGACAGCCCCACTGTTGGTGCTTTGCATTTAAATCGCCACCTATGATGTAGTTATTGTTGAGTGTGGAGAAAATTTCAGTGAATCTGGCCGGGGAGATTTTGTGTTTCGGTGGACAATAAACAGCTGCGAATGTAATAGGGATATTATCAAGTATCAGAGATATAGCACAGGATTGGATGTCGTCGGATATGAAGTTTGGGAGTGGTATGTATTTAAGTGAAGATTTTATATATATTGCTGCTCCTGCATGAGCAGTGTTATCTGGGTGGTTTGCACGGTAGGAATCGTAACCAGGGAAATTGACGTACGAGTTAGAGGTGAAGTGGGTTTCAGATATAAGGACAATGTCAATTCTTTTTTCCTGAAGGGTGAGGAGAAGTTCAGTTGTGTGATTCTTTAATCCGTTAGCATTCCATAGAAGGGTGAGGAGAGAGTTAGAAGTATAGGAGTTAGGCATTTTGTTTAGTATCAAGGAGCTTGGAGATGACAGAGGTGAGAAGAGTAATTAGAGGATTGATAACAGATTTTAGTTCATCTAAAAACTTAGAGAAAACATCAATATCAGTTTTGGGGGAGTGGTTGTCGCAAAATTGATTATGAGTGGTGTCGTTACCTGTTACATTGGCATAAGATCTGTGGCACGTGTTTGATTGAAGATTGGAAGATGGTGAGCTGGTTGATGGAGTAGGGCATTGAGGAGGCTGCTTTTGATGGGGTTTCTGAGTGAGTTTGGATGAGGTGGGTGGGTGACGGCGGCGGTTTTGGAGCTCCTTGTGGACAGTGCAACCTTTGTAGTTGGCTGGGTGACTGCCGGAGCACAGCGCGCAGGTAGCGGGAGTGTCAGGCGTTTTTTTGCATAGTGAAGTTGGGTGGTCTTCACCACATTTAACACATCGTGGGGGGTAGGAGCAGTAAGCAGTAAGCTCTTGTGTGCCCGTAGGATTGGCAGTTAAGGCATTGTGGAATATCACGGCGTTTGTGGGGTTCCTCGATTTTGACTAATGTGTGTAGGATTGACTTGATGTTGAAGATGTCTTTGTTGGAGGGGTCAGGCTCAAGATCAACGAAGAACATGGGAAGAGCCATTTTTGTTTGGTGATGCTTTATATTTGTGACTTGCCTGGTTGAGAACCCAATTTCCTCAATTGCTGAGGAGATATCAGCAGTAGGGGTGGAGGGGTGGAGATTTCTTATGACCACTCTGTAAGATTTCTCTGATTGAAGCTGATAGGTATGGAATGATGCGTTATTTTCATTTAGGAAATGGATTATTTTTCTATAGTCATCAGATTTTTCGGCTTGTACTTTTAAGTGGGTAGACGTCGATTTACATACGAAGCTGGTTGGCCCGGTTAGTTCTGTAAGTTCGGAGAGTAGGGCTGAGTAATTTAATACGCCTTTGATAAAAATGGGTGGCGGCAATGGCACTTTCGTTGATGCATGTGTGGAGGTATCAGATGGCTCCTGGCTAGGAGACTCAGGTGGGACGTCATTATCATCAGATTCAACAGTGTTGGAGAGAGCGCTATAGCGATTAGGAGAGGCAAATAGCTTTGTTTTTTTGGTGATTTCAGTGGGCGGCATTGTTGGTGTCGTTGGTGATGTAGGTAGGGATCTTTTGTTTGATTGCGTTGAGGCCTCTTTTTTTTTTTGCTTGATTACCTGTTGCTTGTTTATAATTGTAATTGGCGATACGGATTTATTATTAATATTGGAGCAGCCTTGCGACATGATGGGACGGTTTAATCTAATCGCGAAGTCCAAAGGTCACCGTGTGCGACGGTGCCTTGGAGTAGTATAATAAGATATACTAGTATATTAGTTGTTGATAATTGTAGTTTGATACAATAATATGAAATAATAATATAGTTTATATTAATTTTGTTTTAAAACAAGTGACTTATATTTACTATCCTTGGAAAAAGGGTGGTGTTGATGACTTGATCTGGGTTGCGACGTCGAATTAGCACGATTAACTGCTTCGGAGGGTGAAGCGCACGTATGATTCCGTTGATATTAAGATAACTAAGTTATACATAACATTGAGATAGCAATATACGTGTGCACTGCACGACTGGCGTGACGCGACTAGGATGGTTGATATAATTTGACCATTTAATAAATGCTTTAATATTATAAAAACAATACCACATTCAAAATGAATGGCAAAATAATGAAACTCAGTGGTGCCTCTTCTATAGTCAACGACGAAGAAACCAGAATACCTACATAACATGTGGCTATATGAATTAATTTTCGAGTATTTATAAGTTCTTTCAAACTTTTTGGGTCCACATTTTTTTTGGTGATTTAATTTGTAAGAATGGCTGACTGACCATAATATGGTGGAGGGTCATGGGGAAGAAAGGGGAGGGGGGTGTTAAATCATGGCTTCACCTCCACGTCAAAATACTAAACAGATACGTCTCCGAGGGGTATAAATAGGTTAGGTTCGCTAGTAGTTCGCTCTTCTATTTCGTATTTATTTTATGTCTTGTTGTGTTGACTGGCAACCAGATTACCACGACGATCGCGTTCCTTAAAACATATCGATCATTCAGACTTGTGTGTGAAACGGTTTCACTTTTTAATCTCTCGTCCTCTTTTGAAATAATATCTAAAATAAAATATAATGTCGTGCCCACAGAAAAAACCATGCGAATCAGAATCGTCGTTCAATATCTTCGATTATCTGCACAAGGCGCGCAATGCGTCCCATTGGCTCGGCCACTTCAATGATCCGCCGTCGCCAACAGACGAATTCGACGATTGGCTGATGTCCGCCAACTCGGCTGACCCTACGTCCAACGGCTGCTGCGGCGGTGGCAGTGGCGGCGGCAGCGTCGGCCAGAAGTGTCCATTCGTCGATGTGTTCCTGTACATGGTGCTCAAGGCCCGGCAGGCCGCGGCCGCCATGGCCGTCATTATGCTCAGCGCCATCGTCATCGCCCTCCGGTCCACGCAGTTCGTCTCCGGCCGCTGGACTCAAGCGTTCGGGGCCAAATGCACGATTCCCGGCGTCCAAATGTTCTGCGCCCAGGCGGCCGCCCTGCTCTTGTTGAACATGTTCGTGCTGTTCACCGTCTACTGGCCCGCGTACCTCGCGTTCCTCAGCATAACAAGCGCCATGGCGTGGGTCATCACCGCGATCAAGGCCTCCGTCCTCAGCGTTGTCGTCTTCTTAGTGTAACCGTTCGCCGATGATCCCATCGCATAGTACAGTAATACTATATAATATGCTTTTATATTGGTAATGACTTACCCCAAACACAATATATTTTGCGTCCAGTGAAATTTATCGACTTTGTGGGCGAAATATGTCAGATACGTTTTAAAAGTATGATATGGTCTAAGTGTTTTATTCCATATTTAATTCCTTGTAAATACACGGTTTTAAAATTTATTTTGCTGCATTTTCGTATTTTCATTTATTCATTGATGTGAGTTAGGACAGTCGTGGAAAAATTTGACTGTTGGTTAATGACTGATTTGATTTAACTAAATGTCATATTATTATACTCTTCCTCCAGCGATATTAAATATAAAATTGTCTGGAGTGGCCAATTTAAAAAAATTGGTTTATTTAACATTCTGTCCATAATTCTGACCAAAATTGTATTCCATAATAGTGTTAAGGACAACCAAATATGATACCAAATCGGCCCAATATTAGCACATAGTAATTTCCGAATTGATACAATTTGTACCAGGTTTAAATTGTTTGATGCAATCCCATTATAAAACTGTTGCCTTAACCCAAAATAAATTAAGTAAGTACCTACGTTATTATTATCATAGTGTCGTAATAATTAAATAATATAAAACAAATGCATGCATCATTTTATTATAAATTTGTATAACATAGCTTATAAGTAAAAAAACCCACCAAAAAATGTCCACTTAACATGACATTTCAGACAGCATTTTATGCTAGGTACCTATATCATTATTAATAGTATTGATGCAAATTATGCAGTGTGGGATACAAAATATACTATTATATAATATTATATTATAATAACAAGTGCATTTCACATCATTGTTATGTTTTGAATATTGGGTCAAGTCATGTATAACATATTTTGTTAGTGTTTATATTGTACTGTATACTTAATATATACTTATAACGTTGGTTCATTAAATTTGTACGCTACTATAATGCCAGCAATCACATTTAATTCTTATATAATTCTCAACGTTTTTATTACAAACAGTTTGCATTGTCCTGTATAGGTACAACTGTAATAATATACCGATGGGCACGATGGTTGCAAGCCAAAGCATGCCACCGGACATTATGTATATTATTGAAATAACATAATATATATGTGGCTGCAAATAAAAAATCACACCACCACACAATTATTTTGAAAACTCACTGGCAATTTTAAATGTTGACCTCTCAACTGCACCAACTAAATTCACTTTCCTTTTGAACAAGATACTGAAGTTGAAAATTGAAACATTATTTTGACTAGTCATCGTGTACACAGTCACAAATAGTTAAAAAAAAAAAATCACGCAATTCTATAATTAATACATTCATCGCTCAGCTAGAATCTAAAACTCAAATTGATATTGTACCTTTAAAATTATAATAATATAGCGTTTTACAGAAATAAATGACAAATATTCCAATTAGTATAGTATAAGAGAACTATACAACTGTACAATAACAATTATTAACAATTGTACTATAAAAGACCGTGTAATAGGTACTTGTCATGTTTCGTTACAACTAGAGACCATATCACTATGGTACCTGTGTACTGTACAGTATATATAACTTATAAGTATTAAACCATCCATTAGTTATAGCAAATTTATAACTCTCATACAATTTGCTCATAATTCACCGAAATTTTCAATAAATCAAATACAATAATATAAGCCCAAACCATGTATAATATAATAATAATAATAACATATGTACAATGTATATCCATATCACATACATTATAATTAACTCATTGGCTGTCAATTACATATTAAATTTACTGATAAATACAAATACAATAATACAATATATGGATATTATAGGTATACGACATATTCTTTGTTTCTTAATTGTATAATTATATCACTATTCAAATTATTATCTGTTAAGCCACTTAAATATCCTTACCAGAAACCCGATTTTTAAAATATACCTACTTGGAAACTCTACCTGAAGCATGAATTTAAAATGATGCCATGACTCGAAAAAAAAAGTGACAAAAACAAAATTGATAAAAAACTTCTAAAAATGTAATTTATAGTAACGGTGGCTTTTTCCTTAAGAGAAGAACGATATAAACTTGTGTTATCATTTAAGTTTATAGTTGTATTTATATCATATCGTATTATTAAAATGAACAAGAACAAAAATATTATATTATATTCATTACAATACACCTACTTGTACGAACCTGATAACTTTTCAGTGATCATTATTTTTGTTTTAAATGCACAGCTTAAACACTGGTTAAAAAGAAACCGGAATTGTTAATTTCAAATTCTAAATTAATTTTGTTAAAAAATATCCAAAATATAAACTTTTATTAATCATTTTATTAGTTTAAAATGTGTATAATGGCCTCCCCTAAATGTATTATTTACTAAAACTAATTAAAACTGCTGCACTTATAAAAAGATCATTTTTTCTAGTACCTAACATTAGGGATCAAAACCGTTTCAAATTTTAACTGTGACGGTTTCGGTTTTTGAGAACAGTTTTCTACATTTTATGGTTTTGCTATAGGTTTTAAGATAGGTTTTTAATTTTTTTTGTTTTGGGTTCGGTTTCAAAAAAGGTTTTTAAAATTTATCAGTATCAAGAACGGTTTATCAAATTTTTTTTCCTGTTCCTAATAACTGTATAACCGATTTTTATTATCTATTAACTATTAAGGGCTGAGCATAAAGCCCTAAAATATGTCAGATTTTTATAATTAGTGTGTTGGTACATAGAACGTAGCAAATTTACGTTTAGCAGAACTAATTTCGTGTTATTCACTTTAATATGTTGTACCTACTTTTGCATACAACATATGGTTGAGATCATTATTCTATTACATTAATATTTATTTGTAATTTACAGTAACATCACACTATAATATTACAATATATAATAAATGTATTGTGATTAAAAAATTTAAAACTAATATCGGTTTTTTCAAATTATATAAACATAATTACCTACCTATATTATTTATAATTCTAGTTAAAACGAGTATTCTTATGCAAAGATAATGTTTTGTCTGAATCGGGAATCCCGATGCTATTACTGAGTATTACGAAATATTAATAGGTAATTTGAGTGTTATTCTATTTGTATTTAAAATATTATATTTATGCTTATTGATTCAAAATTAAAATACGAATATCACAATTATTAAAAATCGGGTCTACAGTTATTATGTACAGGAAAAAAAAATTTGAAAAACCTTGGCCAAAACTTTAGCTCTAAGAAATGTCTTCTCTCTTTATATAAAGGTCTAGTCAAGTCCTTCCTTGAATTGGCTCAATTGTTTGGTCCCCACATACCAAAAAAGATATTCTACGACTTGATAAAGTCCAAAATCGTTTTCTTGGCTTCTCAGGTCGCTGTCTTGACATTACTCACCCTCTGTACGATTATGGGCCTATTAATGCAATACTCAAACTGGAACCACCATCAAAGCGTCGTAATAAATTGTTAATTAACTTTACTATACCAAATTATTAAAAAGGCTCATTGACGCCCCCCCTCCCCCCGACTACTAGAACAACATTAGTGTACCTGGTAATACTAGGTCTAAAGGTACTAAAGATTATTTTCAAATATGCAAAACAAATTATGCTAAAAATTTCCCAATCATAAGAATGATGTCCATTACCAGTAATATTAAATCTCTAGTACCAAGGCCATGCATTAATGTTTGTACAATTATATTGTTACTTTGCTACTTAACTATTACTATCATTAATTTACTATATTATATTCATCTATATACATACTCGTATTATAATATGTCCTATTATATATCTTGTTTGTAAAAAAAGCCGGTAGAAGTAAGTTCGTATAAATAAAAATACAATTTTAATCGGTTTTAAGAACGATTTTTCAATTCTATGGTTTCGGTTTGGGTTTTATAAACTGTTTTTATAAGATTTTAGGTTTCAGTTACGATTTATTAATCAGTGTTTTAAAGCTTTTGGTTTGGGCCCCGGTTACGGTTTAAACTAGTTTTTCAGAAAATTGGTTAAGCCGGTTTCGATCCCTGCCTAACATAGTATTAAATTGAAATGTGGCCCCATTCTCAGCCACTACCAGTTTTTATCCATTCCCTGCTTATATTATAATATGTCGACCTTAGTGAATTCATCCAACGTTACATACAAATTCTTTTCTCGCAACCATAACAGTTGTTAACCTTACACTTTTTCACTTGATTCTCATCTAACTATAGCATAAACTATAGTCCTATTACTATTTTAACTGTTGTAAAATCCCTAAAAATGTATACCGATCATTATTATTGAAAATAAACTCTGTAACAAAGTCTTATACGCTATATTTTTAAATGTATAATTACTAATTTATAATTATTTTATAAAGGAACTATAAGGTTTTTATTATACAATAACTAAGTTGGTTCATAAATACACGTGGCATATACCTACAGAATATAATACAGTACAGTACTGATATAGGTGCTTTATTCAAATAGAAATCTTTCGGGTAACCCATTGTGTTTGTATAGAATATTTTTTAATATATTTATATACATATAACAATTGTAATAAAAGTGACGGAAAGTTTATATATAGGTATAGCCGTATAGGTACCTACAATTTATGAAAGCGAATACAAAAGATAAATACAAAATATGTTGAATACTTTAACAGTGTATTGAAGTTTTATATAAAATATACTTGTCTTTAATAAATAATAATACAAGTAGCATAGATCATTTCTATTTTTTTTTTCTTTATCAATACATTAACTGAAGTCTAAAACGAATCGTTGTTCTACATGTAGGTATTAACTTACTACAACAATTTATATACCTAGTTTTTATATTATTCGGCATTCATTAAATTGTATAACATGCATTACAAGTAACACAGGTACGTACTAAATGTATTACTATATAAATATATAATATTAAGTGATTATTATCGATCAATTATTTTAATATTATTATTACCATTGTTCGATTTTCGTAC